ATCGTGTTAAACATATAATTCCGACCCATTGTATAAGTTATAATTCCTTCTTAACTCTAACCAGGGACTTCTATGATAAAGTGATTGATTCCGTTCAATAACCACTATAACTAACTGGCTAATTAACCCAAGAATAAAATGAAGTTATTACAGAAACATGCGATCTTTGTAAACGATGTCTTTTTTAATGCTAAGGCTTCGTTTGCACTGGAGTCGTGGAATATATTGAAAATGTCAGCATTTTTATTAGTTAGACGAATCTGTGTGGAGAAAAAACGAAGGAGTAAGCGATGCTGTAGTTGTGTGATCTATTTGTACAACTAGCAGACAACTGTCAAACAGTTGACACTTTGACAGTTATTTCAAACGGACTGAACAAAGAGTACATTGAAAAGTTAATAATAAATGTATTCGTTAATTTTCTGCTCAATTTTCTTGATTTCTTTCAACTTAAACTTCTGTTACAAATATTGAAAATCCTTTATAAAAAGATACAAATACTATAAAAAGAACTTCTAATGACAACATAGAACACTGCTCTAATTATAGTGTGACACATAAAAGATATTTATTACATATAGACCTATTATATGTAACAAGCAAGACAAGAAAATCTTGTTTAGGCTTCGGCATAAGAATTTTACAATAAATTAGAGTTCACAGAGATAAAAAACAGAACAAAACAATATTCAATCAAGATATATTCAGTATATTCTTAGAAATCTCTGCGTCTCAATTATTTTTCTCGACACGGAGGAGATAATTCATAAACACATTATATTTATGTGGAGGACGAGCTTGGCGTCCAGCCTGAATACAAACATGATGGAAACGTTATGTAGGGGAACACGGGGTAATGAGAGCGGTCGGGCAATGAGAGCTACGGTGATTGAACGGAATGTAGGCACGTTTGCGCGATCGTAAGCACTCGGCTGCCTTCGTCAACACTCGGTAAACTTCACTTGACGCGCTCGAACCGTTAGTGCCATTCGTTTAGTCACGAGAGACGGTTGAGTGTTCTTCGCTTCACGCTTACAAAAAATTGCCGATTGCCAGCATCAAGGTAAGCATGAAATTATATTCTTATTTTATTGTATTTATGCTTATTATATCCCTAGATTCATTTACTATTAAGTCTAATTAGTTGGATTGCGATTGAGAATAGAATTACATATATATATTATTACTTTTCAAAATGGTGGTCGGCGGCTAATGGTAGCCTAGCTAGGCTCTCATTACCCGACATAGCTACCATTACCCCGTAGTAGTTATTAATGAAATGCCTTGGTTTTTTTTTGTTTTAGATGCCACGTAAAAGGACTCGTACAACCACAAAAGCTTCTTGGACAGTGGATTCATTAGAAAATGCAGTATCTGTCCTCAAAAGAGGAGGCATTTCGGTGTACAAAGTATCTCAACAAACAGGTATTCCTTACAGCACTCTAAAGAAGAGGTACAATTTAGCGAAAGCTGGCGGTAGTAGCTACAAACACTCTCCTAAGCTGGGAAGATCCACTGTATTTAACGTTGCCCAAGAAGAAATACTGGCTAACCATCTTCGGACTATGTCTAATAAATTTTATGGTTTAACAAGAGAACAGTTTCGCAAAGTATGTTACAGTGTAGCTAAACAACTAGGTATTGAGAAACGATTTAACCAAGACAATCAAACTGCAGGAAAAGATTGGCTGGCTGGATTTTTGCAGCGTCATCCAGACTTAAGTATTAGAAAGCCTGAAGCCATCAGTATTAACCGAATTCTGGGATTTAACAAGACTGAGATAACGCTTTTTTTTTTCAATAACTTGGAAAAATTGATGGAGCAACATAGATTTGAACCTCAAATGATTTACAATGTAGACGAGACTGGTATAACGACTGTCCAAGAGACTGAAAAAAATTATAGCTCCCAAAGGACAAAAACGTGTCGGGTCTGTAACGTCATGGGAAAGAGGTAAGACAGTCACAGTAATATGTGCTATGAGTGCAGCTGGATCTTTCGTTCCTCCGCTTTTCATATTTCCCCGGCAACGTCACTCACCACAGCTGGAAAAAGATGGACCAGTGGGAGCCGTTTATACATGTTCACATAATGGCTGGACTAACGAAAAGATATTTGTTTTATGGCTTCGTCATTTTATTAAACATGCCAAACCTGCTGCTGAAACACCCGTATTGCTAATATTGGATAATCACAATAGTCATGCTACTCTCGAAGCTTGGGAATTGGCAAAAGAGAACCATGTCATAATGCTAACCATTCCTCCACATTCATCTCACCGTCTACAACCCCTTGACGTTGCATTTTATTCCCCACTTAAAAGAGCTTATAACAAAGAGTGCAACTTGTATATAAAATCAAGAAATTTGATAAAAATTACTCCATACGACATTGCTGGACTGTTTAATAAAGCTTATACTAGAGTTGCTTCTATAGAAAAAGGAGTATCGAGCTTTAAAGCTACAGGTATATTCCCTATGAATCCTGGAGTTTTTTGTGATGATGACTTCATTAATGAGGAATCCAGATCAGCTGTGCCTGAGGCTGACGCTCAACAGCAGCCAACTAGTGTCACTCCTATTCCATCAACATCAAATCAGGCTGAGCAACCACATGCTAGCCCTGCAACAAGTCCATCTATTTTTTGTGATCTGCAAATTGAAACGGAAATTATTCAAAGGGAAGCTGCTGTAACTCCAGTTTCTATTCCATCGACATCATCACACACTATCAGACCTATCGCAACTCCGCCCAATATTGACTTTGCTAATGTTGTCTCCATTGTCAGCCCACTGCCCCAACAACTCATCTCTCAAAAACAAAAACCGTTGAAGAACAAACAGCATTCTGAAATAATAACAAGCACTCCAATGAAAGCAGTATTTGAAGACAAGAAGAGAAAAAGAACTGAAAAGGAGAATAAGATAAAGACAATTAAGAAAAATAAAGGAAACTGTGATAAAGAAAATTGTGTCAAGGGAAAATGTGCCAAAGGAAAATGTATTAAGAAGAAACATACCAAAGATAAAGAGATTAAAAGCAAGAAGACTACAACCAGAAACACAAGGATCAGAAAGGCAACAAAATATTTGTTTAAAAGTGATGATGAAAACTCATCTCTTGACCAAATCGACGAAAATGCTATCTGCGATGATGAGTCAGAATATTCTGAAGAGGAGAATTTATGTGCAATTTGTTTAGATCTTGGAAAAAATGGAGAGATGTGGTACCGATGCAGAAGTTGCGGAAACTGGGCCCACAAAGAGTGTACTGGTAGTGATAGTCCAGATACTTATATTTGTGCATTTTGTTTGGATCCGTAAATCAGGATCATTTGTTTTCCATTAATAATTTCATATTTTATCTCCGTTTTGTTTGAATTTGTTTTCATTTTAATTTGTGTTACAAATAGTTTCATTTTATTAATAATTATAATAACTAAGATCTCATTTATAGTGCGTTTTGTTAATTTTTTTTTAAGAGTATAATGGCTCCCATTTCCCATATGATCGTTAAATGGGCTCTCATTAGCCGCATTCGTCGGGTAATAGGAGCGACTGACTTTTTTTGTAAAACTGTCATTGTACCCTAATACATGTCTGTAGTTGATTATAACTATAATTATTGTATTCTCTTATAATAAAGGTAAGAGTTTATAATAAAAAAATACAAGAATTTTGAGTAATGTGCTTTTTATTACAACTTTCCCTTAGTAGGCTCCCATTTCCCTGTTCTCCCCTAACACATAGTATATATCCCGGATTCGGCTATACGCTTTGTATAACAGACCAGCTTAGACTATGCAGACGATACAAAAACTCAAACCATTTTCAAAATCCTGATCTCTAAAAGGATGGTTGTTTTGAAATTAATGAGAGTATTACAGTGAGAAGAAATCAATTTAATACGTTTCTTATATTGAAAGACAAAGCCTAGAGAATAAAAAAAGATGTGTTTTAATAAGACGCAAACCGGATTAGCGCGGCCATTTGTTATTAATGTGGGAAAATCATCTGGTTTAATATTCTAGTTAAATTTTCTGACTTTTAATATTATTAAATTTCTTGCTTCGTGTGCTATAGCTATTCTGGTATTTTAGTTATTGGCGTTTCCTTATAGATTTCGCCAATGCCATGTGTGAATATTACTGAGCTGCGTAAAGAGGGAACGAATGATCAAGGCCGCGACTAGATGCTAAGAACTTTATCGCTTCTGAGACTTCGTGAATATTCCAAACACGATTGACAGATATGTGATATTAATATTTTTCGGATATACTAGGCGTGCTTTATTTTTGTAAACAACTACATGCTCCTGACGTTTCGGTTATTATGGTAAATAACAGGACCAACTGACAGACATTCACATCTTGTATGCCCGTGATCACGGTTGCTGAAGAGTAATCGAAACGTCGGGAGTATGTAGTTTATTACACAAACATAGCACACGTAGTAAATCAGAAAATTTTAGTTTCATTTAAATGAATACTCGGGAAATTCTTAGATCTCATTACGATTGAGGGATGACAAATGCCGACATCTAAAAATATACACTCCATAAAAAAATTCCTCGCTCTTTTTTCATTATATAATCTGTTTTTACTTTTATTATATTTTTTTTCAGACAATGTTAATTCCCGCCATGTTTTTATTTTGACAATAGACGTATTCTAATGTCACAGATTCTCACGATTGTACAGTTTCATATATACAGGTAATATATAGAAACTAACGCGTGTTCAAAAACGACGCACAGTACAGTGTCTTATCAAATTTTGAATCGGAACGTGTGAACTCAGCGAGACGTATTGTAAAGTTATATAGCATTCAGGCAATTATTAAATAATAGAATAATATTTCAAGAGATTTCACTTTATACTGTTGGCGATTTAGATTTATAAATTGTTTAAATACAGACGTATTATAGCGACTCTGCCGTCAATTTTCTTGATATAACAATTAACACATTTTTTTGGTAAGCCATGTAACTAAGTCTCAAGTCAAGGGGTGGTGGGGGAAGGGCTACCAACAGCCCCTGCAAATCTTGTTTTACTAAACAACACAACCAAAGACTCAGTCACGTGGTTAAACTAAATATATTCAAAGGAATTATTAATTACTAGCTTTCCGCCCGCAGCTTCGCCGCGTGGAGTTCGGTTATATCGCGTTTCCAAGAGAACCTTTCAAAAGTCTGGGATAAAAACTATCCTATGTTCTTTCTCAAGGTCAACTCTATCTCTGTACCGAATTTCATTAAAATCAGTTCAGTGGTTTAGGCGTGAAAGCGTAGCAGACAGACAGACAGACAGACAGACAGACAGAGTTACTTTCGCATTTATAATATTAGTAGGGATTACCTATATTTATTATTTTTAATACTAATTCCTCGATTAGTAAAGAATATTATTTTTATGGAAACGTACGAAATATAAGATGGTAGATTTTTCAACTTCATACAAAGTTCCCTAACAGAAAATATTAAACAGCGTTGACTATAAACGTTTTTTTGACATTTTTTTCGATTGCCAGTTTCTTTAGACTAAAATTTCTACTTATTAAGACTAGCCACACTTATTAAAACCAAAATTTCAATAAATATATATCTCACATATACATTAGTACCCCAAAGTAATGTACTGGGCAATAATTTTCTTTAGTTTAATGTACCGTACAGTTAAAAAATAACTATATTCAGCTGCATCGTCCTTCAATAAAATAAACCTTATTCCTTATATGTTACATATTTTGTAATCTAGATAAATTCCTTGTCATTCAAGAACAATTGAAGTAAGTTTTATACTATCATATTACTACACATATGACTTATAAGCTTACTATTATGTATAAATTAGATACTTACCCCTGTGACCTTACTAAAAAAAATCACTGTCGAACTAAATATTGAGCATTTCTAGTTTTTCAATGATTAATCCTTTTTAAATTCGACTGGATAGTGTTTGACTGTCATTCCACTCTTTGGAAGATGAAAATGAAATCGTAATTGGTAAACGCACTATTTTTTTGAAAACCTAATAAGCTATATCTATATCTTATATATAAAAGAAAGTCGTGTTAGTGACTTCACTTATAACCCAAGAACGGCTGAACCGATTCAGCTGCAAAATTGGCATGGAGGTAGTTTAGAACCAGGAAATTGCAATAGGATACTTTTTATCCCGTTCGACAGCATTCCCGTGGGACTTGACATGAAACGTCAGTCACTATAAAACGTGGAATAACACAATTGACAGCTATGCAATTGACGTATAATGACAGATATGTAATGACGTATGGATGACAATTAGATATTTGTAAGAAATCTACTATATAAAAATAAAAATATTTAGGTAATGTGTTTGTAGTTTGAACTCTTAAAACCATTTAGTATTTGCGGGATAAATTTAGAAAATCAGTGTTTTTCACATGGGCAGTTATATTTTGCGTGTTCACGAGTTTGGAAACCATACGCTTTATTTGTGTTAAAGTTACACCAAAAAACAAAAAATGTAGTTTACAAAGGAGCATTTCAATGAAACGGATAATTTGCGGACATGTATAACGCTTCGATTCGGTATCTACTTTGGATTCACTTTCATTTACTTAGAGAAGTTCAACTAAATAACACTTCATTTTTGTAATCGAAATGAATTCATTACTGTGGTGAAGTGAAATAAAAATTTTCCTTTTCAAATATAAAACAAAAAATTCTTCATCTTTTAACCACCAAACGAAATGTTATATAAAAGCCTTCTGGTGGCGAAACGGAGTTCGCCAGGTTTACTAGTCTATGAATAAAATAATAGAAATGCTCCGAATTTAGTACAACAAATCAAATGTCTAGAAAGTGTTCTAAACAAAAGTTATCCCAACTCGATTGCTAGACAGAGATAGAAATACATATATCTTACCTTAAACAATATAAAAGCCTACTAGTGTTCTAAACAAAAGTCATCCCAATTCGATTGCTAGACAGAGATAGAAAATACATATATTTTACCTTTCGACAATATAAAAGCCTACTAGTGTTCTAAACAAAAGTTATCCCAACTCGATTGCTAGACAGAGATAGAAAATACATATATTTTACCTTTCGACAATATAAAAGCCTACTAGTGTTCTAAACAAAAGTTATCCCAACTCGATTGCTAGACAGAGATAGAAAATACATATTTCTTACCTTTCGACAATACAAAAGCCTACTAGTGTTCTAAACAAAAGTCATCCCAACTCGATTGCTAGACAGAGATAGAAATATATACATATATCTTACCTTAACAGGCACGTCAGCTGAACGTCGTTCTGGTAGCGAGCAAGTGCGGACGCTCCTTCAACCCTCACCGCGTTAACTTTGTCCCTTAAAGCAGTCCCGCAACCTGAACAACGCTCCTTCAAAATGGAAAGGATGTTCGGCTGACGTAGGAATGCTACCACCTAGGAAGATTTAGAAAAACAATAGAAAATATACTCTATATAAATAAGATTATGGTCGATTTTGAACTGTCAAATAATATTAGGAACACACGACCACTTAAGTACAAAGTAACAGACTTTTAAATGACATTGATGGGTCATTTGAAATGGCCAAACTATGATAAAAATATAAGGCTAGAGATATAAGTAATTAAAAACTTGAATATAAAAAGTATATTATTTTATATATGTAACAATTATGTATGTACATAAAAATAACATACTAGAAGTAAGAGAAACATATGAAAAATGATAAAGAATTTCATGTACTTTAACTGACTGAACTAAATTCTTCTATTGAAATAGGACATATAATAGATATTTTCGTTGCTACTATTTCATTCATTAATAATATCTTTGTAAGCTCTTAATAACGATATATAAGTACGTATATGTATTTCAAACAAAGATTACACAAAAATTTACCCCAACATGTCCTATCTAATGATATCAAAATTAAAATCTAAGTCTATATTGGCTAATCAATAATTGAAAAATACACGATTTAATACACCTTGAACTAAATGAGACATGACACTTTATTTTTGTAAAAAAACTACATACTCCGAGACATATCATCTGCCCGTGATCAAAGTTGCTGTAAAGTAACCGAAACGTCGGAAGTATGTAGTTTTTTACAAAAATAAACCGCATAGTATATCCCAAAAATATTAGTTACATTTAAATATCTTGAATGGTCTAAATACCTTATCATTGTATGCTATGGGTATCTCTTGTTGAGAGTTCTGTAAGTAGGAGTCAGTTGTAGATATAGGAGGCCTTGGCGGAGGAGTGGGCGCCTGTGTAAAGAAATTATACTAAATAAACAACTATACTATAAAAACAATTATAAATACGAAACTATTTTTCTAATTATATATATAAACAACAACAAATTGTGCTATAAGAGATATCACGTGCAAAACAGACCATGCTGCAAAATAAATACAGAAATATTCAAGCGCTACACTGCAAAAGAGAAAAGATAATATTAATATATGTATATAACAATTATTTGATTGTTAGTTTCGCTAAAAGTTAAGGCTTTTCTGACAATAGTATTCTAATTTTGTAATCGAATACAAAAACTTTCATAATACGTGTACATGAATTTATCAGGCGACAAATACTTCATAGGTCTTACTAAGCTGGTCTAAAACAGTCTCAAAAAACTAAGTGTCTAATAAGCTGAATAGTGATGTATAGTGCGTTTGATTTAAGCTGAGCTCTACATTTGTGTGAGTGTACACGGATAGTGTAGGTGAGATGTCAAATTTTTGAATGAAACGTTATTTTCTAGTTTTGAACCGGTTTATACTGCTTTTACTTCGCCCCGCACCTTTCGCACTTCACCTTTTGTACTGGTACCAATATCAAATGTTGAAAACGCAATGTCAAGTGAATAAGAATTTGTAGTTTTTCAAAATTCTTATAAATCAATAATTTTTTTCCTCAATATTCAAAACAATTCTATCTGGACTTTTACAATTTTTGCTTATTTTATAACACTTATGTTATGTATCTATTTAAAATATAATAAGATTTAATTCTAAAAGTTTTTTGTCTAACTCTACTTTTACTTTCACTCACACAAATGCAAAGCTCAGCTTGAGTCTAACGGACTATATTAATAGTGATGTGTTAATACTACTAATGTGTTAATACTACGACCGTCACCTGATCGGTCATAATAGGCCTTCGCCGTGGAGGCAGTAGCGGGGAGAAGGGTCCCGCTGTCGGCGCGCGAGGCAGACGGGGGTCAACGAATGTGGTCCGACGCATCACGTGGTCCACGAAGAAACGCTATCGTTATTAATTGTTAGTCACGTGACTGGAGCGTATTAGTGGGGGATATATTATATGAAGGTAATGTCATATTTGCAAGGGAAATAGTAGTATATTGTGTATATAGAGGGGATATAGAACCAGTTTAGGTGGTATATTAGTACAGAAATTAGATTAAAGAAGGTTATGTATAAGGAAAGTTATAGTATATTAAGTATATAGATTATGTATTAACCTTTCCATTCCTGTCGAGCTTGGAGTCCCATCCCAAAGGCAGTTCTCTGTCAGTTTCGCTGAACATATTGACGAGCGCCACCAGGTCGCGGTTGTGTTGGTAACGCTCGAAGGAACTCGTGTCCCGACGGATCTTTGATATCATATGTTTGAGAGTCGAGTTACAGTTGTATAGAGATGACGCCTCCTGTAATACAGAGAAACATATTTCATTTATATATATGTTGGTGACTTAATGGACTATGGAGGGTGATTCTTGTCATTGACATCAAAGTTAATGTACATTCGTGCAATGATATATACATTACAAAACTTTCTTTATTTTCATTTTCAATAACTTACATCTCCATCTCAAATTTCGTACACTCAGACAAATTACTTTTCATAACACTACGCTCTCATCAGGCATTCATCTTATATCCCAAGACAAGCGTATCTAAAGAGGTCTTACTTAAAAATACTACTAATATTATAATTGCGAAAGTTTGTGAGTGTGTGTGTATGTTTGGTACTTCTTCACGCTCAAACGGCTGAACCGATTTTGATAAAATTTTGTATACAGGAAGCTGACGTCCAGGAATAACACATAGGCTACTTTACATCCCGGAAATCCGCGGGTAACACCGCGGAGCGCAGCTAGTACTTAAAACATTTGTGACGAATAATACTTTAACTCACCAGGTTCATATGTAATATGGAATAGAAGTCAGGTCTTGCGAGAAACTCAGCGGCGGGGTGCGGCGCGTGGGGCGCGGGGGCTGCGTTAGAAGTACTCGCGGGGGGCTCCTCATCTTCAGGCGGAGCCCGAGTTAATGTGCGACGAATAGATTGATATCTGGAAGATGAAATGATTGGATCAAACAATGCTTATTTATTCATTTATTTATTCATGTACCAAAAACGAGTAAAACAGAAAAAAAAGAATAACAAAGAAACAAAGTGATACATAGGAAATCTTATCTCTATGAAAGATCTCTTCCAGTCACCCTGGAATGTAAGCTTCTAAACAGCTAAGGGTAGTTAGAGCTATATGAGGGTAGTTGCGATATATAGTTGAGAAGAAATAAATGAATGGCTGTGGTTAGAAGTTGCGACTTCTAAAGTGATTCATATTCATTTATATAAAAAACATAGACAAAAAATTTCATAGGTGATATAATCATTTAGTGTTTTAAAATTTAACGAATTTTAAATGAAACCAATATTTTTCGGATATACTAAGCGACTTTTTTTGATAAAAAAACTACGAACTCCCGACGTTTGAGCTACTTTTTAGCAACCGTGATGAGAGTAGTATATCTAAAAAACATTAGTTTTATTTAAATGAATAAAACTCGCGAAAATCTTGGATCTCATTGTGTAACGAATTTTAACTGAATCTATCTTACTGTTTACCTCCTATCTAACTGTCGTCTCTGTACTTCTGGTTCGGGTGACCGCGCCGCGCCGTTGGCGGCCGGCCTCTGCCACGTTGTTGTGCGATTTATATGATCAATATAGAAGACACGCCCGTGGCTATCCATGCGAGCCTCCCAACCTAATAATAAGCAGAAAAAATATATATATATGCAAACCAAAACAAATATTTATTCTCATACATAAAAAAAGTGCCAATAACAGTTAAGACAAATAATTATAAAAATAAAATTCATTCCATTACTTAAATGTAACAGAACAAGCATGCTTATTATGTGCACATAATTTACAGGAACAAAAACTAACTTAGCAAGAACGTTAACTACCGAAGTGACTATGACTAAAGGTATATTATAACAAAATATTGCTTACCAGGTGGCAAAGGTTCTTCGCATTCAATAATTCCTCCAATCATGTTAGCCGGGAAGTCTCCCGTCAAGGCCATTTGCCTGGACGCTCTCTCCGGTATAGAGGGTAGTCTTATCCCAGCCATATGCCTCAACGGTGTGGGTGATGCCACTGCGTTTTCATTATCATCAGTGTCATCCGCGGCCTGTGGTCTCCTCAAAACCACATCGTCAGGCGGTCCAGCGTGTACGATAGTGAAATGGTTGCTGTTAACAAACTCTAAGTTAGGCGATCTAATCTCCGATGTTCTCAATTCGTTTGTGAATTCGACCATTTCAAAGTTTTCACAGTTCTGTATAGGTGGCGGGTGTAGGTCCGGTGGCGGTAAGGGCCGCGTTCTTCTCGCGTGATGGGTGGGTGTCGGTGGACATTGCGGGACGGTCGTGTTTGCTAGTGCAGCTACTCTAGATAAGGCTCTCGGGTGAGGCCTCATAGGACTGTCTGGGACATCCTTCGATGGGACCGATTTGTGAGGGGAATGTTTGGTATTTTCACATCCGAGATTTTTCAACAAATGACGAGGCAAACTTGAATGTTTAGGAGTGGAACTGTCACATGAATATTTGCGATTCATCAGCAACGTTCCAACGTTCGGTATCGCCTTACCACCTTCTTCTATGGGAGAGGTAGAAGGGGATGAATTACATGAACTGGGTGCGGTATGGCTCTCTTGCCCTCCTTCCCGACCGCTCCCATCAATGTGAGATGAATTCAGAAATGCTGTCATCATGGTCGGAGTAGCTCGCCCCGAATTTTGTCTTGTGAGGGGCTTGTGACCTTTTACTACAGAAATTTCCTTTTCTTCGACCTGATGTCTATTATCATCCTCGAAATCTACACGATTACATATTTCATTTAAGAATGTATGTTGTGCCTTCTCATCAGATTTTGCGTGATTAGGCGTCAAGTGAAAATCACCTTCAACATTTTTCTCTTTTCTGGCAAAAGTAGTTGTTATATAATTATCAGGACCTATATCTTTTATAAACACGATGTTGCTTTTACCAACATTTTGCGTGCTATCAGGTACATCGACAGACTTCTTATCCTCTACGAATTTAGATAATTTAATGGAAGATATAGTTGAGTCACATAAGCTACCTTCAGTCTCAGGAGTTGCTAGAGGTGCAACATTTTGACATCCTCTTAAAAAAGTTGTGGTCGAAGAAACGGGAGCTTGAACGCCTGAATAAAATTCTCCAGGTTTGAAATCGTTAATATCTCCTTGCAAAGCTGCGGAGTTGGCTATGTTATTATCTGTAAAAAATTGTTCATCAGTGTCTATCAGCTCAAAAGTAAACGCATCTTCTGGCTTCGTTAACTTCTTAGGTTTCCGATGCCTCTGAACAATCGGAGGTAAAGCGTGCATTCTTTCTAGAGGTTTGTGTGACTGTCTAGGTGGTAAGGGCGGAACTGGAGATTTTTGAGCATCATTTGGCACATTCGCACCTTCCACATCATAAACAAACTTCATAATTTTGCAAGGATTCTGCGGTGACCATAACTTATAATATTCAGTTCCATCGGGGGATGTCGGAGAATCTAACCCGATATTCATATTCGTTTTTTTCTTGACACCGTTCAAAACTTGTCCACCGCCAGTATCGACGGGAGGAGGACATTTCTTTTTGACACCAGACGACGTTGGTTTGCAGTCCAAAATATTGGGACATTCACTAGGAGATTCAGTACTACTACTAACTAGAGATTTACTATGATCACAATTAATTTGTTCGAGATTTAAGGTCCCATTATTTCCTAAGGTGCTAATTGAGCATTTATTGACATTTTCACTAAGATACTTGATGTCCTGGCTCGTACTCACTAGTTCAACTCGAGGTGTGTTTTCCGAACTCATTTCGAAACTCTCATTGTTATATGAGAAGGGTGACACTTGATCACCGCTTCGTTTCCTCGAGATTCCCTCTTTAAGCCGATGTGGCAACTTTTTAAGATCAATTTTAAATCGTGGTGGTAGGGTAGAAGACTCTGCAACGCATTCGTCCTCTTCGCCATTGTAGTAACGAAAACAGAGCAGTTGTTCACAATCTGTAATAAAATAACCAATACATTGAATTTTGTGAAATGTAATAATTGAAATCAAATTTATCAGTAAGTCATTTTTATTTTTACCTTCATAAGGCTGATTGGGCTCATCAAGCAGCCACATTATATGTCCAGTGTCGCATCCGGTCGCCGGCACGAGCCTGGCGATACCGGCTATGCTTGTGGTCTCTGAAAACAGACGTGGGAAAAATTAAAAACCAACAATACCTAAATATGTATAATACATAAATAATCCAAGTCGACTTAGAAAAAATCGAAGCCGTTCATATAACATCATTTAAATTGTAAACATTTTAATGATTTATATTTTAATCAAAACTTAAGACGAATCAAACAAAACTAAAACATAACCCTCGAAACTCATTCGATGCCTGCGGGTACCAGCATGAAAAACAAAAGCGAGTGCAGGTGCAAAGAGCTGTAAGACGGAATAAAAACAAATAACAAATGTCCCACGACCAAGAAATGGCAAACGAGATGCGAACCCTTCTTGGTTTTTTATCTACCAAAAATCAATGCGTAGGTTGTGCAGTTTGACGCTGGCGCATCACAAATTATGCGCCAGACTTAATCGCCGGATGCGGGAGACGCCCTCTTATTTAATGCGAAATAATCGAAGCCACCGAATTGCCAGTTAATTGGGGAAACATGGCTATAAATAACGCGGAGGCAAATTGATTCAGCGAGCAGAAGCCGCTACCGCCATCGGGGAATTATCATACGTTGATTGGACTGATAACTTCTTCCTATCGAAAAACCCACGAATGCACATGCGGGCGTGACCGAAACGTTCATATATAATTGTTTATGAGGAAAAAATCTCATATTAAAGTGATTTACGAATCATATAAATTTTTAATACAGTATTAGTGTGTACGGGATGCATAAAATATGGTCTGGGTTTGTTTCCGCTCTGGAATAATGATACTCACAGTCGAAACGGATCAACGTGATTATTGTCTGGTATTATTTTATTTTTTGTTCTGTCTGTACGTAACGAGCCCTCATTTGTAGATAAACATATATTATACGCGAACTAGATTATTTTTTTAATAACACTCATTTCCTCAGTCGTTAGCTCGTCACACATCACACGAGACGGACAGAAGGATCTTGGTAGGAGATTAGAGTTTTGTGATGTAGCAGGTGGTAGCTAATTTAATTTAAAGAGAAGATTTATCCAAAGAGGATGTCATGAATTCCATTCACTTGTATGGATGAGTTACACGAAATTAACATGAATATAATAAAAATGTATGAATTAAGCGTTTAGCGTTATGACGGCGCGGTGGTGACGTCACTCGTGACACAGAAGCAGTCTATTTCCGGCGGTGACGCAACATCCGCACACTTCCGGATACGGGATATAGGAGATACAACTATACAACTGTCGAGTGTCAGAGACAATATGCTGTCATTGGGGGAAATTAAAATAGAAATTTAAAATGTTTTGTAGAACAAAAAGTTTATGTATTAAAGGGCTTACAAGTTAAAACATATTGATTCTTTATTATATTGAAATAATGTGTATTATGTTAGAGAAAAAATTACAAACTACATATATCTTCATTCTATAAATATTACGCTCTTAAAATATTAAAACGTCTGACAATATTTAGCGGAAACATGTGTTAATCACGCAGCTTCCTCGAAACATAGATGAAGAATTTATTTTCGCTATTTGAATATCTAAAAATAAAACAAAAAATATATTACAATCCGTTGGTTGTGTGAGATAGTACAGTCATTATAAAATTACTTGCGACACTAGTACAATAATTACTATAGAAAATGGTCATTAATAATTCTTATTGTTCTAGATTATAATGGGATTTAGGGTTGCAATTACCTCGTAGTGACAATCGAGCGATGCGTCACGGTGGTAGTTGTACAGCGGATGTTAATAGTTATACTAAACACAAAATCAACACCATTTTCTTGTCCAACGCATACAAACACACAAATGCTTCACTATTTATTATATGACAATATAAGCCATCTATATCAAGAGCTTGGTGAAAAAATATTACGGATATAAATTATTTCAATGAATACAAGCAAAAATGTTAAATCTCATTCAATTTTTACGGAATAATCATCAGTAAAGATAATTCTTTAAGCATGAAATAACAAGACAAATATAAGCATACATAAAAGGATGCACTACAATAAATTTAATACATCCTAATAATATGTGGAACTAAATAGAGTAACGCTATCATAAATCTATTACCACAAAGTACCCCATCGCGGAACGTCATATTTATTGTCATGGCACATCTGCCAAGACATACACAAAACTAAGATATTCGAAACACTTAAGTGTATCCGGCTCGGGATAACATTTGGACGGCAGGAAATACAAGTTTAAAGGGGTCGACTTGATGACAGACCCCCATTAGCGAAGTGACGATGTGACAGCATCAGCAACTTGTTAGAATGATGACGTGGGACTCAATACTGTTACAGAGACGTTCACACGACTTAATGATCACTGGTGTTAGTACCCTCGCCGTACCCGATGACTGACATTCAACAAGTATGTAAATGAAACGCTATAGGAAAAAACATCGACTTATACTAATGTACATGCCGTACGCGTACAATCTGCAGTAAATTTTTGGTTTGAAAAGAGTGAGAGAGATGGCCTATGCTTTCGGTCTAGCACTATCTCTTTCCTCATAGGTACGGTACTATTTTTAGAGATAAAGATAGACCGAAACTTTGTTTCCTCTCTTTCTTTCGGAGTGCCGCAATTCTCATCTCTAAGGCATGTCCATTTGTATAAGTGGACGGGAAAAAGTACGACTAGCAAGTACCTAAATCCACGAGAGATGGAGCCACATACGTGGAATACATTTAATTATCACAATGAACATTAAACTCGACATATCCTGTCTTTAACTGTATTGTTTCCTTAACATTTAAATACCCAGGTGAGTGTTTTTTTTTATTCCTAAATTCCTTTTCATTGATTCTCGACCATTAAAGACTGGTCGGATTTACGAGCGTGGACCACTTAAAATTCCACTATGGATACACAAATCTCACCGGATATAAAAGTTTTAAACAAAACATTTAGCTTCTACGCATTCACATGGACGTAAAGATGTCTTTTTATAACTATATTTATTCTGTGCCTTGATATTTAAAATAGCTCAGAAAATATACGAGATTATTTCACACGGAAATCACATCCGAAATGAAATCGAAATAAATACAATAACATCAAAATGTTAATTAACTGAAGACAATAAATGACGCACTTGGTTAATAACAACAAATTATCTGTTTTATAAAAACAATTTAATTCTAAGAGCAACAGGTTAATCGTAACTATTTTCCAGATTAATATGTTAATTCATTATGACTCACTAATGACTTAATATCTCTGATAAAATACAATCTTTGAAGATAATAGAATTTCGATGTTATAAAAAGCGTTCTGAGAACGAATTTTGAATATAAATCTTACTTAATATAAAAATATATTTACGTACGAACAATTCAGGTCAAAGTCTCATTATTCATTGAATAATATGTGAACAAAACAAATATATGTAGTATATATCAATAGTTTTATATAATGGCAGCCTTCAAGTTCGTATCCTGTGGAACTACTTTCCTTAAACAGTGTTAGATGAACGTTAACGCCATGTAAGGATTCCGCTGTTACGGCGTTGGAAATAACTCAAGCCATTATAAAGAGAAATCAGAAATCAATTTAATGACATACGTACATAGTTGGTTATTTCAAAAACAAAAAACTTACTAAGTGATAAATTTAGTTAATTTAATTATCCTTAAAAAGAATATTATATCAATATATTACAAACAATATAATTTTATTATTTACAACTTCAAAACACTCCATTATTATTTTAGTGAATGAAAATAAACTAGTCTCAATCTGTGATGCTACGATCTTCGCCGGCGCATGTGGGCGGGCACGAGCGCGTTATATAACGGGGTGACCATACAAACATATCAATAATATACCAAAAAAAAACGTCTAAAAATATAATATATACATTTACATCACTAACTGAAGTGAAATAAAAATAATCAAAATAGATAATAAATTAGTCCCGTTTTAAGATTATGTAAAAAAAACATACATTTCTTGGTAAAAAAATATTGTATCCTAAACAAGTGTTCTCATTGGAAAACGACATAAATTCGTGACCTTTCGATGAGTTGTGACATGATTGTCGCGCTCTCAATTAGATTCATCTTTAAATAGCTTATAACTGTCATTTATCACTGACCACGCATCCTTTGATAAATTCACTCAAGATGACTTTATCATATTATTTCTCCGATACTTATATATGTATATACGGCATCGAATATTTTGTTAAAATCAAGAGTTTTTGAATACTACTCACTTCTATAATGTTTAAAATTATTTTTTTAAACCATCTGTCGTACAAGATGTTAACAGATTAGTTAAAAGTTTCAAACGCTACAATATCAAAACATCAAGATATATTCAGTACAAGTTGTCTTAGAGTATTAAATATGACAAGTATGCTGAGACTCTTCATAGTATAGAGCACGTACGAGCCATTGATCAATTGCTATGAAGTGGGGGTCCATTCATGCGCACGCGCAGAGCGACCTCGCAGCCATCTAGAGCGTATCATTTACGTATTTCAAATAGTTCAAGTATGACTAATTCATGTGTTTTACTTAAAGATTAATGATTTAAGTTTAATTCAATAAATGGGTCTCAGGGCTCATTGATAAGTGACTGATGACTTAAATTGTAATTTATAAAAAATAGTCTTAAAAAACAGTCTTAATAGCAATGCTAAATTTTATTTGAGATGCCGAGATCAGGACAATCTATTTATAGCGCAGTGAGAAGTGACCAAAACTCAGGGACATTTTCTTTAAAATATACAATACTTAGACCACATTTATGTATTTTGGTGACAAATAATTTTCCACCTACTAATACATTCATAACGAGAACAGTAGGTACGGCAGTATTTTGTAATAGAACAAACAGATCTGTCCAATGAATTAGGCGAGTACTAATATTTGCGTACTCCTACATCCGCCAACCTGTCACATGCCGCCCTAACTAAACAAGTGACTTGCACCGAAGGACGGGTTTATCGATTGATATAAACCATGCAAATTCGCTACACATTATTTCAACC